AAAGAAGGGTCTAGGCCCGAAACGTCAGCTTTCCTGCTCCTATGATGCTGCTTGGCCTGCTGTGTTCATCCAGTTCTACACCTTGTTATCTCAGATTCTCCAGCATCTGCAGTTCCTACTATCTCTTGAATATAAAATAGTTACTTTTTTCAATTATTTTGCTGTAAAACGTTTCGATTTGTGAACTCCAGGTTGTTTGATTCTCTCAAAGTTAGGAGTGAGTCAGACTTTGTTTGAGAAGCTCAGCCCTTCAAACGATAGGGTCAATACACAAACTTCTTGTGGCAGCTCACGGGGTAAAAAAAACCCTCTACAAATATCCCAGCCCTCTTCCAATTGAATTAAAGTTTGCAGCACACATTAACATTACTCAGGTACACCACTCTCTGAAGGGCAATTAGGGATGAGCAACTGGCCAGCAACATCCAAGTCTAATAGGACAAAAATTTGAAAAAGATTCAATTTGTCGTTGTATTAAATCAAGTAAGGATGGCAGATTTCCTTCCCTAACGGACATTCGTCTCTCAGCCAAATCGACTGTCTGGAAGTGAAACATTTCACGCAGTCAAATTCTCTGCAAACTACTCAGGGGGTGATTGGGAAGTTGAGGAGGGGGAGGTGAGGAATGAGATTAAATTGGATCCCTTTTTCAAAGAACCAGCACTGGGAGCTTCGGGCCGACCGGACTCTTTCTGGGCTGGGGTAGCCTATGTAAAGCTCCACAGTGGTTCCTGCTCCGGCTCGGCATGTCCTTTAGTGTTTATTCAGACTCTCTCTGCAGATGCACCTGTAAGAGCAGAGAGAACTGGCGATGGAATCCAAACCACAACTTGAGGGAGGAAAATTGCTGGGTTTATGACTGCGGGAATTCTCTCTTCTTTCTCTCGCTCATTCCCTTAAAAAGGGTCAGACGTCAAGAAAATCTTATTCTTTATCCTTGGATTGGTTACATTTGTCCTTTCTGGGTTCCTGTTGCTGGGCAACTTGTGTAAAGCAGCCAAGAAATCTGGCTTTCCAAAATATATTTAAACAGACAAAGTGGAAGGGGACGGGGGGCGGAGAATGGGGCTGGGAACCAGGGCGAATGGGAACCTTTTATCCCCAGTATGAAATAATTAACATTTATGTGATCTCGTAACTTTAATGACTTTCGTTTCGAAAATTCTGCTGAGTCAGATTAAACATTTAATTCGGAATTAATTGTAACATACACGGATAAGATTAGCAGGAGGCGGCACAGTTGTTGAAAGATACAACATCGCCTTGCACCGCGTTTTAAAATAAAATACTGCAAATAAAAAAACCCAACATCTCAAAAATATACCTAAAAGAAGCAAACCTACAATGTGCGCGCTTCGCAGCAATGCAAAAACAACGGATAAAATTAAACTTATAAACTAACCGCGCTGAACAAACTTTCTAACGTTTACCTCCAAGGAGCGAGGTTAACAGATGAGTAAAGTGCAGGTATTCAATTGTTAGTTAAGTACAGAATTATATTGATCATATTCCGTTCATGCAAACAGCGTTGTCTTTAAAATGCATCACAAAGAAGGTGCTGTGAATATGTATCACATTGGGAAAAAAGTTATTTATAAATATTAAAGACACGTGCAGCCTGGGCAAAAGGGGTTTATTTTGATACAGTTAGCTTTTTTTGTCAAAAACACAAAAATTGTCGCCACGTTGCAGCTGTTAGTTTTTTAAAACAAAGTTTGTATTTGTGCAAAACAAATATGCCCTTTTATGTATATATATATATGAAAGCACGAATCATATGCAAAGATGTTTTGTTTTTCAGTGGGGTTTTAGCGCTTGGATATTTTCCAGCTGCTGTTTTCTCTGCTATAGAGACTGCACAGATTCATTACCTCAGCCACAATGCCCATTTATCACCCCGTAGCGTTATTCAAATTCAGTGCCAATTAAAAACAATCGCCGTCTTTTCGCTCTCCCTCTCTCTCTTTCTGCTGTGGTCACTATACACTTACTGTTGGGGGAGGGAGGAGGGGGCGGTGTTGGGGGTGGGCTGCTGGTGTTGGGAGACAGGAGGCTGGGAAGAAGCCCTGGTTTTCACTAACTGAGCAGTCGAGGATGATGTGAACTGCACCAGGTTTCCAGAGGAGCGCCGGGAACATCAGCTCAGTCGGAGGGGGGAATTCGGAATACCCATTACTTTTTCAGAGATATCCTTTTTTTTTGTGGCATATCACAGCTTCTGTGCGTGAAAGTGTTGCGTCTGTGTGTGTGTGTGTGTATATAGACAGATATATGGCTCCAGCAATCATATTCAATAATAGTTTTTAGACGTTGGTGCTGATACACCGAATGTCTCCTTCTCCTTTAAACAAAATGCATTTTTTAAAAAAGATGCGGATAGCATTGTGTGTTGACGTAAAAAATGGTGGTCAAAACAATGCGGGTCCTTATTGCAAATCGAAAAACAAATTGATAAATGACCACCCCCCCCCACCCCAAGCCGCTTCAATTTATAAATTGCCTGCAGTGTGCTTCTGAAAACGTTGTACAATCTGATTCTGGTTTGTTTGTAGAGGTTAAAACGGGGTTGGGGTTGGGGTTGGGGGGGGGGGGTGGTGGTCGTGCAGAGATGGCAAATTGACCAGGGGAATGCGCTGATCAGCAAGGCTGTTTAAAACGTTATTTTCTACGTGTGTGTGTGTATTGAAGAAAGGAGATGCTGCCTCCAGGAGACAGAGAGAAACCCTTGGAAATTCTCGCTATTGATTGTCCAAACGCAATTCTTGTGCTTTTTCAATTCAGGCCCCGAGAATTGTGGATGGACATCCGTAGCTGGTTTTTCATATTCTTCTTGCGTCTGCAGTGACAAACAAGAAAGGAAATATGCAGGTATTATTTGGGGTTTTTTTTTTAATTTAGAAGCCCGTTTCTGATCAGAGAGAAAAAAAAAATCAAGGAAACAGGTTTAACGCAGAACACCTTGTACCTGCTGAGCCACGGGTAGGACTTGCCAGATTTTCAAAAACATGTTTGATGCCTAGACACAGCAGACATAAGGGTAACAAGAGTAGGCAAATTGAGAAACCGACGCGGCGTTTAACAAAGTCGACAGTTCTGTTCGTGGGTTTTGACGTTATTTCAGTTCTGAGAGAGGGGTTATCCCTGACTATAGCACCAATGTAAAGGAAATGTCAAATCCTCCCCTTTTTAAAAATAATTTCTCGTTAAATTGTGACAGTTCCCTTTTTAGATTTGAAGCTGGGCCAGAAATCAGGGCGAATTTCGTTAGCAAAATATGTAGTTTGATTCGATAATGCGTCCTGTATCTAATCCTTGCTCTCCGCGAAAAAAAACTTTTATTCGTTTGCAGAACTGTGACGCCTGAAGTGATTTGTACTTTTTTTTTAAAAAGGGGAAGAAAAAAATTGGGCGTTACTATAAAACGTAATAGTACCACAGCACCTGTTCCCTCCCTTCGCCTGAATTTGTTCCACTTCTAACAAAAATAGAAATGCCGATGCTGGAAATCTGAAACTAAAATAGAAAATACTGGAGAAACTCAACAGGTCTGGCAGCATCGGTGGAGGGAGAAAGCAGAGTTAATGTTTCGGTTCCAGAAAAGGTCACTGGATTCCAAGCGTTAATTCCGTTTCTCTCTCTCCACAAATGCGGCCAAACCTGCTGAGTTTTTCCAGCAATTCAACTACTTTTTCTCTCCAGAGATGCTGCCGGACCTGCTGAGTTTCTCCATCGATTCTAGTTTTTGTTACAACTCCATAACAAAAACAGAAGTTGCTGGAAAAGCTCAGCAGGTCTGGCAGCATCTGTGAAGGAATAAACAGAGTTAACGTTTCGGGTCCGGTGACCCTTCCTCAGAACTGACTTTGTTTTTGTTCCTGATTTACAGCATCCGCAGTTCTTTCGGTTTTTATTTTGTTACAACTCTAATTTGTTTAGGCCCGTGTTGATGAGCAAACACATGTTGTAATCATAAACCACTGAAAGCCTTACTGTTCAAAAGCTCGGCTTCCTCAATCTCTGAGGAATTCTGTACTTCAAACTTGTTCTGATCCCCCCCACCTCCCTTTACAGAAGCTGTCTGTGCCTGGCCAAGGTTTATTGTAGTTAATGCACTGGCTTGTATCTCTGTGTGATGCCAGGCGAGACATTTTTCGTTACTCCGCGGTGCTGAGTTGGGCCCGGGACGGGTGGCCGTGCACAGGTCTCCTGTTTAGAAGGGTGCCCCAAGGGGACTTCGTTCGCGTATCACCGCCTCGTCCGTTTCAGCCCACCCCCGCCCCCACCAACCCCCCGTTAACGAATTAGGTGCGTTTGCGAACGAACTGGGTGTAGGGACAGAGAGAGGAGACGGTGAAAAGGCTTCCACAAACTGCACAAGATAAAGGAACTGCGAGACTTAAAACTCCACGGCCATGATTTCATATCAATTTACTTTGAAGAAAATTACAGTCGTTGACCAAAAAAGCATCGTTTGAAACGGGCGGAAATTGACTACAGGGTGTTAAAATCTGTAACGTTACTGTCAAAGTAATATTATCACAATCACTTTGCTTTTAAATAGGGATTAAGGATTTTAAAGATCAGAGGAGCTTATTTTATTTTACAGTTCACCATCTTTACATAAACAGTGATGTTCTCAGTCTCATTTGTAATCCTAATGCACTGCGGGTCAAACCGCTTGTATATTACAAACAGGCGATCCGGATAACCTCGCGAATAACGTCGCCATCGCTTTGATACACGGTTAAATGGTGTTACAGAAAAGCTTCTGGTCGCTTTGTTTTTTGTTTAAAAAAAATAGAAACAAACTGTTTCGTTAACCGCCGTGCAATGTTGATATAAAAACGACGTTGTCTCGGTTCTCCAGTTTATAATCCAACTGGCCCTGTCCAAAAACACAAAGACAGGACAAATCTCAATGAAACGGACAGGTAGCCAATTGCACACATCAACTGAATCCCGTCACCGATTTGCCACCACATTTTCTTTAACAGAAGCATATTTGTGCATCAAAACATTCGTTAAAATTGCAGTTTTTTTTGTTACGTCGGCCCAGTGTCCACAAATTCGTTGCTCGATATTTTACCGCACTTCCATCCTCCCTCTCTCTTGCGGACTTTAATCGGATCATTTCAAATCAATGTCACATATTCAGAACGGTCGGTAATTTCTGAGTTGATTTTCTGAACGGTATTCCAACCCCCTCCCAATTTTTATACATAAACGACGACTGTTTCGGTGGAAAGATTAACTCCCAATTTGAACTGGCCTCGAGCTCTCCTCAGTGAAGACCTTCAGTACAGACAGCTCCAAGCCTGCCAGGCAGGTCGTGAGGAAAGGAAATCTAAATTTTAAAAAAAATCTAAACTAAAATTCACCCCCCCCCCCCTTCTCCCTCTCTCTCTTCCTTCCCAGACTAAAATTCACCCTCTCTCTCCTCCAGCCCAAATTAAAATTCTCTCTCCCCTCCCAGACTAAAATTCGCCCTCTATCGCTCTCTTCCCTCCCAGACTAAAAAAATTCACCCTCTGTCTCTCCCCTCCCAGACTAAAATTCGCCCTCTCTCTCTCTCTTCCCTCCCAGA